CCAAGGGCAGGTGGGATATACTGGGATCCGTCACCTGTGATGTGGACTGGACCCTCATCATCACCCTTGCCATGTGTATCCTGAGATCTTGTCCCAAATGTGCTCTCCCCAAAGAAGTTCAATGATCGTGGCAGGGAAACAGGGACTTTGAAAGAGGTGGGGACATGGCCTGTGATGTCCTGTGGACCCTGTTCCCCTCGGTGGGTCTGGGTTTTACGTAGTGTCCCAATGCAAGCTGAAGCCATCAGGAACCTTGGAGTGTTCGTATACTGAATTCAACATCTCCTGCTCTTCTGGAGCTGGTGCAGTGCTGAGCTTGTGCTGTTCCATAGCTTCACCATCCTAGACATCATCTTCCATGCCTGTTTTGCAGGTTTTCCAGCTCTGGAAAAGACCTCTTGCTCAAAATTCTCTAGCTGTAATGCAGTTTCTTTAATCCAGTGCCTGCTCTGGTTGTTCCCTTAGCATTTAATGGCTTGCTGAAAGATGCGGTGCCTGCTGGCGCTGCTCTTGCCTGCTCAGCACCAACCCCATGCAGGGAGCGCCTCAAGGACCTCCCAGTGCTTGCCAGTAACGCTGGCCTTGGGGAGGCCATGGCTAGCATGTGCCACTGCTGGGCTTACCTTGCCTTGTACATATGCTTAACAAAGCCAGAAAGCTGGGAGAGGATGAGCAGAGAGCTCAGGGAAGCGCTTGTAAGGCCAAGGCTGAAGAGGGTGAAATGGGGAAGCAGAGGGAATGCTCCGAGGATGCAATTCTTGCTGGAGGGGGGAGTGGGGGCGGTGGTTTTGAGCAGCTAGCAGCTGGCTGTTGAGAAGCGTGAACAGTTGATAAGGAAAACAAGACCTTTTGCGCTTTTTTCATAAAAGTTTAACAGCAAATAACAATTCTACCTGCCCGTTGCATCTGTTTCTCATTCTACCAAACAGCTTGAGCCCAGTTTTATGATACTTGAAATGAATGGGTTCACCAACGGTAACGCGCTTGCCGTTGTCATTGGTGTTGATGAGTGGAGGATGTGTGTATTAACCAGAGCGGTTTCCAGTGTTGATGGCATGGACAGATGGGGGAAATTGGGCTGCATGTCTCCCCGTGTGTGCCTCTTGCTCTCGGTTGCTGAATTTGAGATGATTAATGTCCAAAGGACAAATTTTGCTCACCACCGGTGGCTGCAGTACGAACTTGGCTAATTACCCTTTGGCGGGCGGTTGGCGGGTGCCCATCATCCTGGGAGTGACGGCTGTGTTTGAACCTTTGCTTTCCAGCCCCTCCCAGCGCACCCTACACCCCCCCTCCAGCCTTCCTCCTTCTCTCCAGCCCAGACACTTGTTCCCTGTGTGAGAAATGATTTCACATCTTGCAAAATTAATTCGCTGCTCATGATGGCCTTGATTAAACAGATTGGCAAATTGTGCTAAAGGTGGCAAAACAGCTCTGATGCGCAGATGTCTACACCTCTTGCAAGGAAAAGCAAAAAACCTGTGGGCTGTTGCTATCGGGGAATGCAGGTGGCTGTGGGCTGTTTTCTGCAAAAAGCAGCAAAAATTCTTCATGTTTAGGAGCAGTGGCTGTAAAGTGAACCTGGTGGAAACAACAGGAGGGGTAATTGCCACCAGAGCTGGATTAGCTTGAAGTAGATGTAGCTTGAAGTAGATGAGGTTTGCTCATCCTCCAGTGGATAGTCTGTATGGATGCTCCGGGAGTCTGGAGATGGATATGCTATAGCTATGCGGGGAAAGCCCAGGGTCCTGCTTCTGCCAAGAGAGATCCGTTAACCAGGCCTGCTTGGGCCCCAGCTGTGGTTCTTTTATAATATAAACCTCTGAAAGTTTGCAAACAAACTTCAAGTATGCACAAAGCTCATTTTCAGACAAGTTTAAATTTTGTAACGGATATTCTATTTATTTACGCAATTCATCCAAACCCTTTTGTATCCTTTTGAATCTTATTTTGTGGATATTTAATGAAAAGTAGGGTTGAGAAAAGATATTTGCACCAGGAATGTGTTTTTTGGGCTTGCATGTTGATGCTCTGGATGCTTGCTTGTAAATCTGGCGTTCCTGGTGTGTCATGCGCTGCCTTCTTGCATGCTTTCTGGGCAACCGTTGCCTGGAAGAAGGGTGGCGTTTTGGTCTTGTTCTTTTTTGGATTTGTTTATCTTGCTGTCTGCACAGAAACCTTCATGCAGAAGACTTGATCTTTCGAAGAAATAGGTGGGGAGAAGTCCTTTTGGGTCATGCAGATGAGATCTTGGTGGCTTTCCTTCCCAGCCTTGGTGCACAAACCCCAGTGGACACGGGAAGACTTCTGATGAGGAAGAAATCTGGCCAGGCTCCTGCTCTTGAGATGACCGCCTGTCTTCCTCTCATCCCAGAGATCCTGTGATGAGTAGAAGGTAAGATACCACAAGATGTTCTGGGAGGACAGATCTCTCCATGGCTAAATTAGGATCGGGGTCAGATCATGTGGAACAGTGAGCTTGGGACTGAAGGTGCAGCATGAACATCCTGGGCTTTTTCCTGTGCGAGAGGACAGGGCTGAACAGTGTAAGGATGCTAGATGGACAGAGGAGGAGGATTTTGGGGCAAGTTTTTTCTCCCAGACACAAACCACGTCTTGGCTGTGAGTAGTTCAAGGTGGCAGTCCTGATTCCCTTTTACAGCAATCATTCCAAAACATGAGGCTGTGTCGAGTCAAAACAAGAACCGCCACAAGATAAATAGGTGAACCTGCTGTATTGCTGCACTGAATTAACACAAGAGGAGTATGAGAAGGGCTAAGTGCATTTAGTGAGGCGGGAGCCAGCAGAGAGGAGCAGAGCTGAATTTGCAAGCGCTCTTTTCCCGTAGACTCCTGGGCTGTCTGGGCAGGCGCTCTTGCACTGATTTACTGCTGTCCTTCCTTCAGCCTTTGAAAATCAATCCATTAACAATTAAAGTAATGTCTAGTCTAGTATTTATTTCACACTCCCTTGTTAATGGACTGACAAAAAAAAAACCTTCTTCAAGCACTATTTCACAAGAGGGCTGTATCTCTGGGTCGTGCTTTTTCCCCTTGTTCCCTGTTAGGGCTGAGACCTGCTCTTATGGAAGCATGCGGGAAAATTACCGTGCATTACCACACCATACTGCTACATTTCTCGTAAAGAAGGTGCAGCTCCCATGCTCAATATCCCCAGACATCCATTACAGCAGAACTTGAGCAGAAAGGGCTAGCCCTGACTGTGCCTGCTGGGCCCAAGCAGCTCTGCCTTGGGCTGTCCGCGGGCTCCGGGAGGGAAGAAATATTTGCTGCCCAGGAGCTCGTTTGCCTTTTCTCCATCTCCTGGGCAGTAGCATGGTGCGCCAAATTGGATCTGACCCATGTTTGCGTCCCCAGC